CCCGAGCAGAAACTCGATGTCGTCGAAGCCCTCGGAGTCAAACGCGGCGGCGTAGGACTGCAGCCCGATGCGCCCGAGCGCCTCGGCGACGGCCGCCATGCCGCCATTGTTGGGAGGCGCCTCCTTGTGGACGGTGCGGCCGTCGGGCAGGAGCTCGAAGAGGCGGCTCGGAGGCAGGGAGGGCGCGGGAGGGGCAAAGAAGGAGGAGGAGGCGGCGGCGGCGGCGGCGGCGGCGGCGGGAGCGGAGGAAGGGGCGGCGGGCTCTAGCGCGGGCGCAGCGGCAGACTCGCGCGGGCGCTTCGCGGGGCGCGGCGGCGCCGCCGACCCGTCCTCACCGACTGCCCGCGCATACGCCACCGCCGCCTCCACCGCGGTGCCGAAGCCGCCGATGTAGACCTCCTTGCCGTCCACCTTGTGCCGCGCCTTGAAGCGGCCCGACACCTGCTTGCGCACGCCTAAGTAGCCGGTGCTGTTGCTGCTCGAGAGGTGCAAGCGCAAGCCCTCCGCCTCTGTCGCCACCGCAGGAGGCTGGTACTCGCCGACCGCGCGCGCGTACGCCACCGCCGCCTCCACCGCTGTGTCGAAGTAGCCGATAGAGATATGCTTTTCGTCCACCCTGCGCCGCGCCTGGAAGCGGCCAGGGGCCTGCTCGATCACGCCCTTGTAGCCGGTGTTGTTGCTGCTCGAGAGGTGCAAGCGCAAACCCTCCGCCTCCGCCACCACCGCCACTGCCGGCGCGTGAAGCGTGCAGAACCACGTCTTGCGCCCCGCCTCCGCCTCGCTCCTGAAGCCGGCGCACGCCAGGCACGCCCAGCGCGAGCAGCCGTCGGCATCGCACCCGACGGAGGGCGCCATCACCTCGCCCGCCTCGTCGTCGAGCAAAGTGCCGCACTCGCAGCAAGTGGCGGCAGATGCGGCGGCGGTGGCGGCGGGGGTCTCGAAGGCGGGCGCGGGTGGCGGCGCGGGCGCGGGTGGCGCGAGGGGCGGAGCGCTCGAGTCGGAGAGCGCCTGACAGAACAAGACCGCGACAGGTCTGAGGCGAGGCAGCACGGGTCCGGTATCAGCTCCGCTTCGAGTGCCTTGACCAGCTCGACTCGCGAGCGGTAGTGGCGGGCGGGCTCGGCGAGGCGGAACGCGTAGTAGTCGCCCGCAAAGGTGGCCTGAGTAGCCCGCGGCCTCCAGTGCACCGCCTGCAGAGACGAGGAGAGGTGAGAGCCCAAAGTACCGACCGTGTCCCCGCAGCTCGTCCTCACCCACTGGCCATCGACGTGC